TATTCTCCAGATATGACACTATCAGATTACCATCTTTTTCGTTCGCTGCAACATCATCTTAATGGGAAAACGTATGTAAATGTGGAAGGTGTTAAAGAGGGCATCGACATGTTTTTTGCTCCATACCAAAGTGATTTCTTTAATCGGGGCATTAAAAACCTGACTGTAAAATGGAAAAGCATCATCGATAAGAATCGAGACTATTTCATTTAATAAATATTTTTCTTTGATATATAAGTTGTTCGGGTTTTTTCATCTAAAAAAAAGCGATATTAATTTCTTGACGACCTAATATTTAATTTAACATATTGAGACACACATTACTGTGTTCTTCTTCTAAATTTCTAAATTTAGAAACTGTTGTAACCTGCTAATGTTGCATATGTATCCATTCTTTGCACCAAAATAATGATATGAATAATAACAGTGACATATTTAGTTTATTTATTATATAGTTATCTCCGTACTCATAATTTGCACATGTAGTTACAGGAAACATGAAATAAAAAAAACAGAATATAGCTCTGTGGTTTCTTCTTAATTTTTAGCACTATTTATAATTGTTATATTTTGTTTTTAAAAAGATAAATTGCCCAGAGAGCCATTTAGTGTTCTTTAAGCCTATGTGATTATCAAATTGCAACGTTACTGGTCTTACCAATTTAATTACAATAATTAATTAGTAGAATGCACTTGCAACTAACATTATTTCTGGTTACTAACCCTGAAAATACCTCTAGGGACCACATGTAGCATCATATTGAGTAACTTTATGTCTTTACCTGTTAAACTACTCAGTGTAAAGAACTAACAAAAAATATGTGTGAAATTACTTAATGTTTATGTAAGATGCATAGGGACCCTAGAAATAATTAATGGAAGTAATTGGACTATTGATAGTATTTTTGTTTAAATTATTTTTCCTCTTTTTTTCTTGTTACTCAGAAAAAAAAGGCGTAAGCCGAAACGTTCGTAATAAGATGTTAAATTCTGGAGTTTATATCATTTTCAACTTACTTATACCGTATGTGTGGATTTTAAAAGTTTTTCTTTAACGAAACTACTTTCGTCGAACAGTTACATACAGAATTCTAAACATTCTGTTCAGGAAATTTTGTTGTACTTAAACTTTTCTATGTTAGAGCATCTCAGGTCTATCCTACCTTTCATCTGATTCATCTTATTTGACGTTTCACAAACTACTTTTTTTGTATCTCTATGAGGGACGTAGACTATTTTTTTTAGATACACACATTAATTCTGACGTGAACTCTTGATTGTTTAGTTGGTTAATTATTACTTAACTTGATTTGTCTATACATTTCTTTATTGTACAAGGTATTTCCACATTAACAAATGGTATTGAAGTAGGCTGATTTTAACGTTTGTAAGAATGCCGACTTTTGAAATAAAAGTCTGGGCTACGGTTTTAGACTCGTATCCTGTTTCAAATTCGTGTTATAAGTATAAGAAAGGAACACATTTAATGCTGAAAATTGCATTACCAGATATGATTTATTTTGAATACGTATACGTATATATATATTGCATTCACTTATTTTCATAAAATTTTATCTTTTAAATTTGACACTGAAATGCAGTGATTCTTTTTTGTCGTTGTAAAAGTGTACATTGTCGTAGGTAACTATGTAATTATTGTTGCATAATACAATGGTAGTGAAGTTGCAATATTTCTATATGATCATGTAAATATTGTATAACTTACGTAAATA